AAAGGAGTTGCTGTCACATCAAACGAATCCTGTGGGTGAATTCCTTATGACGACGGGGAGGGAACTGACCTACTTTAATATAATATACGGAATGAAGAAAGCAGTATTCTGGGATGCGGTGCCGTTTAGATATTGTGTTAACCGACGTTTCGGAGGAAGGTATCTCTTCCATCTTCAGGATAGAAGAATCACGCTGGTTTCTCGCTTGCGGATTTTCTTCTTTTTTCTTCTATCCTGAAAATGGAGATACCTTCCTCCGAAAAGTCGGTTTATACAATATCTACACGGCACCACGTCCCAGAAGAATGCTTTATTCATAGCCACCGCCGTGAAAACCCCAAATCTTACACTATATACGGTATGATTATGGTAAACCTACCTGAACAGTTGTCACACACCACATTTCATTGTACGACACAAAATTTTCCTCAAAATATGGTAACCGGCCGCGCCATAGCTCAAGCGGTTAGTCGCTGGCTTCCCACCGCGGCGGCCCGGGTTCGATCCCGGGGTCTGGTCAAGTGGGATTTGTGGTGGACAAAGTGGCGCTGGGGCAGGTTTTCTCCGAGTACTTCGGTTTCCCCTGCCAATCTTCATTCCACCAATAGCTCCACAACCTCACCTATCATCTGGGGCTGGTACAATAGGCCAGAAGTGGCCGCAGTACAAGGGACTTAGTTCCACCCCACTGGCAATAAAAAAATATATGGTAACCTCTCTCAGTTTTAACAGTTCTCCATAGATGGCTCCATCATGGAACTATCTATGAGGAACTGTTAAAACTAACTGTGGAATACTATCTTTATGACGAACAGGGTGTGTTGTTACGTTATGAAAGTGGGTTCATTTACCATACAAACTATTTTGTTTAAAAATACTGCCCAATTTCTGGCCAGTTATACTGAAGAAGGAGTCTGAGAAATGTGTACAAGTGAAATATGAACAAAGATGAATTACACACACAGGAATTAAAAACACATAAACTGTAGGCGCTGTAAAGTGACTGTTCATTCGCTTGACAATTACACACAGTTCATATGCTAGACATCTTGCGTAAAGAAATTTTGTTATGTATAATTTGATGTTGATAGGCTTTGTATTATTACACACATACATAAATGTTCTGAGTATGCCAGTGTTTAACACAATGTGTGCCGGTTTTTACTTTCTCATATATGTAGCATGAGAAATATTGTGATCAAAATCGATTTGGAAACTTCGACGGACATCAACATTTTCAGCACCCTGAATATGAAAACGTTGTTTCTTTTGCAATGTCATCTGTCTGTAGGCGCCACCTGCTAGCACCAAACTTTGGGACGGATTTTATAAAATATATCGTTTTCCACTGAAAACTTTTGACTCCTAAAACAGTTGCCCTTCATAGGGTCTCGCAAACGCAAAAATTACGATCTTATGGAAAGCGGTCCATATAACGTTGATTAAATTTCAGTGATTTGTGGTTACCATCTCCATAAATAAAACCGTATAGGTGCCATCTTCATGGGTCCAACGGCACGCTTCCTGATGCGCAAACGCAAAATGTCAGCCTCGTAACCAATGAGTACCAGGGTCTCTTACACCGGGAGTAAAACGGCCGGGGCATGAAGCTGATAACTTACCTCCATGTAGTGATCGGAGGTCCAGAATACGTCGAGGTATACCTCCACTCCCCCACGTCTTCATGGAGTGGCGCACAGGGACAGTTATACTATGTCGGCCTCTTTGCTTTATAATTGGAAGCAGAACTCGATGCAATTTGCTTTATATTTAAGTACGACATTTATCAGTACAAATAAATTCAATAAATCCTGTCCAAAACTGAATTTAATAAACCAAAAAGGCAACTGTATCTCCGTGCTTCATCAAATACTACGCCATGAAAACGTATGAGGGGATGGAGGCATACCTCCACGTACTCTTACCTTCAACATTACACAGAGTTGCGTAGTTACCTTCAATTTCCGACCCCTTTAACCACTAGACAGGAGGCTGCGTGGCCCCCAGAGTTGGTCTGGCCTCTGAGGCAAAGCAGAAAACTCTTGTCTCTGCCGGAAATAAAAATTTTCGATATCGATATAAACATCTGTATCATCCATACAGAGTTTCATATGAATTAAGGTGTCTGTTAAATTTCCTTTACAGAATTTAACATTACCAAGTTACGAGAAACAATTTTATATTTCCTTGTAATTTTATGAATATGGAATTACTATTTAAATAAAACCAATGAATTTGGTTCCTACCACCGAGGAAACACGTTGTCGCCATTACAGAGCCCAGTCTCTTAGGCCGTGTAGGGAAACAGTTGCTGTTTGTTCTGAGAATCACAACAAACACATGGGCTTAAGTACATTCTCTGATCAAAACGCTCGAGTTCGATTTGTGTGTGTGTTAACTTAGCAGCCACTGTGCTTTAAGCGTTAACAGATCACATAATTTATTTCGAATTGCATTTATATTCAAGTTACTTTACTTTCTGGTCAAACGAATAAAAAGTCACACTCCGTTTACAACATTCTACGTACTTGGATATGCAAGAAGCAAGACTGTACAGGACAGGCAAACAAGTCTGGGAATTACCACTGAGGTGTTATAACGTGCCCACACTCCTTAAAAGCAAGCTTCAACCCGTACATGCAAAACATGCAGATCTGTACCTTCAGCTTCCCACTACCAATTGCATTTTCTGAACCTGTCCAATATGAACACTACTGTCAGTACAGAAGGGACCGAAGACTTGACGGCAGTGGAAATTGGGTTATCATGATGTCTTGTAAGTGGATAATATACAGGATGATTCTAAATTATTGTCGGGGTCTCCGTTTATAGGCCACGGAAACCCCGACAATAATTTAGAAACAACCTTTTGCTTTCGGATGCTCCTAATATCTCCCATTTAAGTTATAAGTGCGCCCTGAAGTTGGAGGCGGAAGATTCCTCTTATATGTCCGTAACGTCTACAGAATAACATGGTGTCGTAATCCAAAATAACTACGCTCAGTAAAAATTCTGAATAATTTTTTATATTATATATTTATGATATAATTATTACGATAAATTTCGGTAGTTAGTTATATTTATATGTGATTCATTTACGCGTGCTGAAACAACAGCCAGATATAGTATAGTGAACAGAAATTATTCTGGAAATATGTGAAAGAAAATTCTTTATTTGCGACTGTTTTTGATAAACCCTTGGCTGAGAGCGAAAATATTTTCCTTGCTCAAAAATAATTTTAATGATGTTACATTTCTGGTTAATATCTTAAGAAATAATTATTTTATTGGTTACATATTTAATTTACAATTAGCGAAACCAGTTTAAAAGATACCAAGCAATATTAACCCACGCTTTAAACCACTGTTAAGAGGTCAGTTAGTTACCAGTCACCTAAATATCAATTGGAAGGAAATGATCTTAACGTTTTGAAGCAGGTCACTTAATGTTAACCGTTCAGAATCAGGGTAGGGTCACATTTAACGTAATGGTATCTAAAGTTACAACTCTTTCTATGTCTCCTCTTAATATGAATCCGAAAGCATGGTGACATTAAGAGTCCTATAAGCATGCACCTTCGTTCATAATTCCAAATTATACCTGACTAAACATATACGTTTCATAAGCACTAAATACGTGACATCAACAAACCAATAATTTCTGAACTAGTTCATAAAATAGAAATCAATTATTCATAATTAAAGTAAAGTGATAACTCCATCAGTTTCTAGTTTAAGCTTGATTCTAACGTAAGTTGGAGCTACAACAGGCTTCCTTTATGTTTACATTTTATATCCAAGAAATATTTTTCCATGGTATAAATATAGAAACACAGAAATCGAGTAAGCCTAAGTGAAAAACACTGTCATCAGATCCATTTAGAATTGGCTTATATCTTTAACGAAATGGATCATAATTGGGATTAAAGCGTGTATAATTACTAAGATGACTTCACATTATATCACTTGAAGATCCTCAGATAAGTGAAGTACCATATTATTTGATATGATAATACAGAGTTGTCCTACATTTACTCAATTTAGTGAAGTATCGTATTCAGTCGTATGACACTTCAAATTGCCAATGAAAACAGGTGTGGCTTTCATAGTTAATTCAAACGCTTCTCCGTAAGTTGCTTTATTCTGGAAGTTTCTACGGAGCAAACTAAGTTACTTGTTCGAATCAGATTTTGAGATCTTACATAAAGCGTTTCCGTTAGTTAGAAACTGATCTATAAGAACTGCATCTGAATAAACTGATGTCTTTGCACCTAAAGTCATGTTACTAATGTGTAACACGGAGTAAGAACCCAGATAGGCCGCACCATAGCTCAATGGTTAGTCGCTGGCTTCCCACCGCGGAGGCCCGGGTTCGATCCAGGGTCTGGTCAAGTGGGATTTGTGGTGGACAGTGGCGCTGGTGGGGGTTTTCTCCGAGTACTTCGGTTTCCCCTGCCAATCTTAATTCCACCAAATTCTCCATCATCATAATCACCTAGGGCAGGCTACAATAGGCCAATCAGTGGCCGCCGTGCCGAGTGGACCCAGTTGGACTCCACCCCTCACTATGCAAATAAAAAAAAATATCCCAGATCGAAATTTACGTTGTCTACCAAAATCTGATGTAATATTTTTAAAAGAGTAACGTATAATTATTATTACGATATTATACAAACAACTTTCAATCAACGGGGCATATGTTATGATGTCAGAGTAAAACTTGCAATAATTTCGGCACAATAGCATGCACTTCTTAAGAAAATAGGAACTACTTCAACGATTTACATAGATTCATCTATCAGTTTAGGAATACCAATGCTATCTCCGTGTATTGAATAAATTTTATAAGAAGAGGGTCGTCTTCTGGGTTTAGGCGCCGTGTATTCTTCGTTTTGGCCGACATTTCGGAGGAACGTANCTTCTTCATAGTCATCACCGCGAAAACCTCAAAACTTACAAATTTTATAAGGTTCGGAAGTGATACTAACTAAACAACAAACCTTTCCAAGTGATTGTTAGCGTGCCTCTTCTGCTCGCTTGTTCCGTGCTGCTTGTGTCGCAGCAGCCTCTTCATTTCTCTGTGGTTTTCTCTGCATCGTTGCTTTAGATCCTCGAAGTCTAACCACTCCGAGAGGTCTGTCGGCAATGGAACACCATTGTCCAAGATTTGGAATGTCACATTATTAAATGAGTAAATGTCTTCCTCCGTTTCATTTTCGATCTCACTATAATCATTTTCACGGTTAATCGATACTTTCGCACGTTCGATATCCTTCCGGAAAGTCTCGAGGAAATCTTGCACTATTTTCTTCTGGCGCAAGAATTCACAGTCTCGTATTTCATTATCCGCTCCATAGATCAGTTGAATGAAATGTGAGCCATCAGTTACTTGGCGTAATTTCACAGATTCCCTGTAAGAAAAAGAATGAACAATATTTATAACTTGTTATATAGGTTAATTAAATTTGTAGTTTAGAGTAGAGATTTGTGTCACATAACCTCTCTCCTGTGGCATAACATGCACAGTATTGAACGTAAATTACAGAAATTTAGTTTCAGAAGCTGCAACTGAATTCACTTACACCAGTTAATTAAGGTAAATGATACAGCTTTATGAAGACATGGGCCCAAAAATAATTCGACTTCTATGCGTTTATCTCGGCAGCGTCTAGGGCGGCTCTGGGACCCGCCCAAATTCCCATTTAATATATATTTGGGGCTACTTCCGGATGATAAACAGGCGGGGGTTTGAAGCTGACGACTTACCTCCCACTAACGCTGCAGTTAAGAATATACGGAGAAATGCCTCCACTCCTCCACACATCCTCCACGGCGTTGTGTGTAATCAAACACAGGGACAACTTTACGTCAAGAGACATGCCAAGACTGAATTATTTTTGTAAAGCAAAATTCGAGAGTGCGAGAGAGGGAGACAGAACTTTGTCAAGGTAAAGGCGATATCCCTGTGCTTAATTAAGCATCGTACCATGAAAACGTATAGGGGAGTTAAAGTACAGCTCCACGAAGTCAGTCTCTGCGCTGTATACGTAGAGGTGAGTGGTCAGTTTCACACTCCAGTACCTTAATCCCGAGGCAAAGAGCTCCCGACGCTCGCTGGATCCGAGGCTGGATGGGCCCCAGAGTCGGTCTGGACGCTCCCTTGCCGGAGATCGAACCCTGATTCCTCGGCCGTCGCTATACCGACTGAGCCACATCCCGACTCCTAAGAGCTACGAAACGCTTACTTATTTTCCTGGTTTGTTCTGGGTGTTATAAATGAAACTTAAAATACTAGGGGGTGGCAAATACAGATTGATCTAAGTTCAGCACAGGGGCCGCGCCATAGCTCAAGCTGTTAGTCGCTGACTTCACACCGCGGCGGCCCGGGTTCGATCCCGGGTCTGGTCAAGTGGGATCTGTGGTGGCTAAAGTGGCGCTGGTGCGGGTTTTCTCCTAGTACTTCGGTTTCCCCTGCCAATCTTCATACCACCAACTGCTCCATCATCATAGTCACCCGGGGCAGGTTACAATAGGCCAATCAGTGACCGTCGTGCCAAGTGGACCCATTTGGACTCGACTCCCCACTAAAAAATTCAGCACAGTCGGTATAGCGACTGGCTACGGGCTGGACCACCAATGGGTTGGAGTTCGAGTCCCGGTGGGGGCAAAAATTTTCACTTCTCCACGTCGTCTGAGGCCCAACCAGCCTACTATCCAATGGGTACCAGGGACTGTTTCCTACGGGGGTAACGCGGCCGGAGCGTATAGCTTGCCAATCACTTCCAGCTAGTGCCAAGGTCAAGAAAATGTGGCTCTATACATCCACTCCCTCATATGTATTCATGGTGTAGTGCTTAATTAGTTAGGCTCAGGGACAGCTTTACCTTTACCTTTACCTTACGCCTGTGTTACAGCACTGGCGCGCGTCACAACTTTTCATTGACAGCTTCACGTTGCGTAAGGCTCTTCAATGGGTTTTTGTCTGTAAGATAATTGCTCCGCGCTTAGCAGCTAGTGACGTATAATCCACTGAGCTTCATTCATTCCTACAAGAACTTGCAATTAGAAAGTGGCAATCAGTCTTGTATATATAATAATAAATTGTTCGCGTACTGCAATACATAGCGTGATTCACTTCTTGTTTATACTGCCTGAGGAACAAGAACAGAAGACAATGTCAAGACAGTAACATTTCCCATATTTACTTTTACTTTTACGTTGGACGTGACTGGGTTACACTGTTTAACGGTGACGTCATTCCCACTGATTCCCTTCCCAGACTGACATTCCTCAGCCTGACTCAATATTTCCTCTTGCTCATCTTTATGCAGTATGAAGAACTTATTCTTGGCAGTTGCTTCGGTAATGTGACGCGCTCATTCACACGAAGAACACTTCTGATTGTGTTCGGAAGTGGCAGTGGAGACTTGCGGGACGCATACCACTCAAATGGCTCTTAGAAACAGTAGGGAAGAGACATGAGATACGACTACCTGCCTCATCTCACGACTTCGACATACCTGTGCTGGAAATATATGTAAAAGTAAAATTGTAAACCTATCTATCTATCTATCTATGGCCCTTTGTTGGGCCTTGACCGCGTTTTCAGCCCGTCGCAAAGCCGCCATCTGCACACAGGACAGCACAAACAAACAACAAACGCCCACAGACATCCTTGCCTCAAGTAGGATTCGAATCCACGATCCCAGCCCTCGAGCGGGCAAAGACATTTCATGCCTTAGACCGAGCGGCCGCTGTGATCGGCGTAAAATTGTCCCTGTGCTTAATTAATTAAAGGCCAAGCCATGAATACATGGAGTAGAAGCATTGTGTCATTATTCATGATTTAGGCACTAGGTGGAGGACAGTTGTCAATTTCACGCTCTGGCTGCTTTACTCCCAGGGTAAAAGCCCCCGATACCCGTTCAATAAGAGGTTGGGTGGATCCCAGAGCCGGTCTGCATCCTGTGGAGTAGAGAAAAATCGCTTTCCCTACCGGGAATCAAACTCCTGTCGTCCAGAAACTGTCCCTGTGCTTAATTGATTAATCATGGGAGGGCGGAAATATAGATCTATCATTCTTGACCTCGGTGCCAGGAGAAGGTAAGTAGTCAGCTTCACGGCCGCTTTATCCCTTCGGAAAGGGGCTTCCATGCCCATTGGATAGGAGACTGGGTGGGCCCGGTCTGGGCGCTGTGAATTAGACTCTAAAATTAGAGGAAAAACTTGCCCTTGCCAGGAAATCGGACCCCGGCCGTCCAGCTCCTGGTCTGTCGCTACACCGACCGAGCTCTCCCGGGCTTTAGGAAGTGTAGCAGAACGTAACAATCTGATGCATCCGCTCACTTTTACTTCTGATATACGTCACGTGTCTGGGGTTTGCATGACGAATTGTAATGGGTTATGGATCTGATGATCGGGTTTATTGGTACTTCTTTACAATTACAGTAGATTATAGCAACTCACACATTGAACTCCTACCGAACGACGTCCGTCTTGCGAATCTCTATGAAGAATCTCTCCCTAGCCTCTCACTAATCTCGGACTGATCTCCACTATTCCTTTAATTCACGAATCCACTGCCTTTTATAGCTGCCACGCGGCCTCAATAAAAGTCACCGCCTCTTAGTGCGCCATTACTGTTCCTCAGAAATGCGCTGTCTCGGAAACCATGTATTAATTCCCAAGTAACGATTTGGTTGTCTGTTGCTGCGAAACATCTCGTGTTTAGCAACTTGCTACCCGTCAACGGCTCGTTCGCTGTTATTCGTTGTATCGAGAACGTGATTTCCGATCCGTTGCTCAGGAATGGACGTCTGCTCCGGCTCCTCCATTCCGGCTTTCAGTCGTCATGTCACAATATACATGCGAAAGCACGGTGATAGCGAGGGGCACGCGGTAGAGTAGTTGGTTGAGGTACTATGCTACAAGCCGGAAGATGTATTGAACCTGTGTACCACAAAAAACCTGCTGTTATGTGGACACAGCTCCATGTACAAGTATGTAACTCAGCTTAACTTAGTAAACACTACTTTACTGTATCGCTCAGGGCTTCATGACAGCGTAGACAAGGGGGCATGATGATCGGTTTATGCTGAGTTAAAAGTGGGCCAGATAACATTCTTCAAAACGAAGTTGTGGCTATTTAATTGTGCTTTCCGGCTATCAAGATTGTTTTACGTAGTGGTGCCGGCAACAAAATGAACATCTACTGAGTTCGATGACAGGAATACAGGGAGAACCCAAATGTAGCATAGTTCTGCACACTGCCTCTGATATGGTAACCACATGCTCAGGTGACGAGAAAATTTCACGTCAGTTGGTATACAACACTGTGTAGATTTGAGGTTCTCTCAGGTGTGGTTATAAAAAGTTCTCTCTTCAGGGATATAACGCTGTGTAGTCCGTTGAAAGCCAACCGACTTTTCGGAGCAACATGTCGGCCGGCTCCTTATTCGGCGCAGTAGTACGTGTATAAACCAAGCAAGAAACCAGTATGAAGCACGTAGCTACATCTACTGTCTCCTTCACGCTTGTGTCTTCCGATATATTCCTCTGAAACGTCGACTGATTTTTCAGCGGACTACACGGCATTATATCCATGAAGACAGGACTCTTCACAACCACCGCTGTGAGAACCTCAAATCCTAAACACCGTCGGCAGTTCAGACTTACAGCGTCGACTGTTTGGATCAACAGTGAAAATGAATTACAAAATATGTGGGAGAAATAGTAGTTGACCTGTCTTAGGTACATTACCGGCAGTCGCCTGGAGGTAATGAGGAAAACCAGGAAGATCCTCGCTCAGTATAGCCATTGTCTCGGCAAAGATTCAAACCGGATACTTCCGGAATACAAGTTTGAAGCCTTACGATTCGAGTTAGTGGACAGTTGTTAACCATTTGAAGCAAAGTGGTTACTATACGCACCGCCTTCATTAATATTAATCGTTTAAAGGCTGGACGGACGGGTAAGTTATTGCTGGTCCTCGCCAGTACAGTCATTCTTAGTTCCGTTTCCGGTGGGACTCATGACCATATTTTACTGTCTCACGACTCTGGGAGTCGTGAGTTCACTCATTTTTAAGACTGGATTTATTCCAAATGGTACATAAGAATCCAGTTCGTACCTCACAGGAAACACATTATGTATCCGTTACAAAACCGAACCGGTTAATGCTGTTTAGAAAGAAATCGCTGTTTTCTGTGAGAATCATACGAAACACAGAGGTACAATGTGCGTACAAAATGTAGAAATTTAGTGTGTTAAAGCAGGTGACAGATATAGTAACCACTGGGCTTTAAAAGCTTAAAGAAACTATGCATTTTCTCCACAGCGTATTTATGGATTTCGTTTTTATTAGAATGAACAGAGATTATATCCCTGAATAAAATTAACCAATTGGTCTTTG